GACAAGGAAGTCCAAGTTTATAGCATAGTGTGCCAGGGGCCCTGAGAGGAACAATAGCATCACAGAGCCAGTGCCATGGGCTGGGCTCTTTGTTTGTTTGTTTGCCTGAGAGGCAGAGCTACAGAGAGACAAAGATCTCTCATCCACTGGTTCACTTACCAAACAGCCACAATGGCCAGAGTTGGGCCATTCTGAAGCCAGGAGTCAGGAGCCTCCTCTGGGTCGACCCTGTGGGTGCCAGGGGCCCAAGGACCTGGGCCATCTTTTCCAGGTGTGTTAGCAGGGAGCTGGATGGGAAGTGAAGCAGCCAGGACTCGAACTGGTGCCCACATGGGATGCTGCAGCCAAAAGGGGAGGCTTAACCTACTATGCCACAGCACCAGCCAAGTTCTTTGTTTTTTATATAATACTTAGATGCCAGGTGCTCCTTTAACTGCTTACAACATGAATTCACTAATACATGAGAGAGATATTATCTTTTACCTATCTACATGTCTGAAAGATAGAGAAAGATTTTCAATCCACTTAACTACTCCCCAAATGGCCATAAGAGCTTGGGTTGAGCCAGAGCCCAGGCCAAGGTTGGGAGCCAAGAACTCAAACCAGATCACCCACGTGGGTGACAAGGATGCAAATACCTGGACTGTCACCTGCTGCCTCCCAGGGTGCACATTAGCAGGAAGCTTGAATTGGAAGCAGAGCCAGGCTTTGAATCTAGGCACCCCGATATGAGATGTGTGGAACCCAACCAGCATGTTAATTGCTAAACCGAACGCCTGCCCTGTCGCTCCCCCTCTTCATGGAGGAACGACACTAAACCCTGCCTAGGCTTCATATCCGAGTCACGGCACCATTATGTCGCTCCCCCTCTTCGTGGAGGAGCAACACAGGACCCTGCGCTGTTCTTTCGTCTGCTCGGCCCTCCCCGGGTTTGCTGCTGGTTCTTCCCGGGTTGGCTACTATCCCTTCCACCTCCGTGGAAGGGCAGTTCCCCCTGGCCGCATTCCCCACTTCCGCAGGGGAGCGGCACACCGCCGGCCGGCTTTCTCGGGGGCTGCACAGGTTCCCTTAGATGTTCCCCATAGATGTTCCCGGTGCATGCCGTTTCTCTCCTCCTTTATAGTCCTCCTCCGCCAATCCCAACTCGGCTGCCCACACGCCGAGTACGCTGCTCTCCTCCAATCAGGAGCAAGTCCTACAGTTAATTGGTTGAACTGGAGGCAGCTGTGCGGAAGCTGTTTACTTCTCTCCCAGCGCCATATTGTGGGAGAGCAGATGCATAGAATAAGTCCTAATTCCAGTAACAGTCTAGTCCGGTTTGCTCCCCACAGATCCCCCTTTCTTTTTATTTTTGGCGTTGATACGCGCCTGTCTTCGGTGTCCCGCGGCACACACTCTGCTCTACTTGCTAGAGTTGCCACAGGCTCTTACAAGTCCTATCAATCAGGAAAACCGAATCCGGGCCCTCTCTTCGCCATGTTGTGAGGAGGTTTTTAGGCGCTGATGCGTGCCTGTGTTCGGTGCCCTGCAGCGCATACTCTGCTCTGCTAGAACTGCCTGCAGGTGTTTACAAAACCTATCAGGCAAACCGAATCCAAGCCTTCTCATTGCCGTATTGTGGGGGAGACTTATTAGTGTTGGTTCGTGCCTATCTTCGGTGACCTGCAGCTCATACTCTGGTCGAGCTGCTTGCTGGCGCTTACCGCCTTAATCAGGCAGACCGAATCCAAACTTTCTCGTTGCCGTGTTGAGGGGAGGCCTTTCTATTTCTCTATTTCTCTATCTCCGGGCATTCCTATTTCTCCCATTCCACTTCTATCTTCCAGCATTCCTATTTCTCTCACTTTACTTCTAAAACTTCTGTTTCTCTTATCCCCGCAGCTTCCCGCTGCCCGCCCCGAGGCTACTTCTCGGCGGCTTCCCAGCTGAGCTGCTTCAGCCCGCGCCTCTTTCATCTGCGCAGCTTCCCGGCTTTGCGCGGCTTGGCTTCGCGCGCTCCGCGGTCTCCAAGACAGATGCTATCAATGTCACATGTTTACAGATGAGGAACTGAGAGGTTGTACACAGCTGACCTGTCACAGAACTGGAATCTGCACCCGGGCCGATCATGGTAAAGAGCAGACAAGCAGACAGACATCATAATAACTTGCAGAGGCCTCTTGTGCCTGCGTGACAGATGAGGCACTGAGGCTCGCAGCTCCCCCTGGGATCTGTTTTGAGATGCCACAGCAGCACAGAACAATCCCACTCCAACCAGCGCAGCAGACGGCATCCCAGGGGGAGCTGTTCTTGGGTTGTGTATGCAGTGCAAGTTGGAAAAGTGTATCCAGAGCAGGGGAGCAGCAAGTGCCTAGATACAAAGGCATTAAGCGCCTGGTTAGCGGGGGACTGTATCATTAGGACTAAAGATGATCCACTGATAGGTGATAGGAGATGAGACAGGAGGGAGCTAGTGCCAAGTCTTTAGAATCCCTCTGGACAGCTGTGAGGATTAATAGAACTATTTTAAGTAGGCAGTGACATCATCAGATCTGAAGATAGTTTGGAGAGAGGCCAAATTATTAGGTGGACTAATTAGGAGGCTATTACCATAACCAAGGCAGTAAATCTCAACTAAGGCCCTGGCCTTTGGGGAAAAGGCCATGCATGCATTCATGTAGATGTTTGTGTCCATTTTTCCTTAGTCCAGGTCCCTCTGGACCCAGCATCCCTTTCAGCGGTGCTTACCTTGGGGAGTGTGGGCAGGTAGATCCGGTATTCCCCTCTGCCCACCAGTTCCTCACAGTCCATGATCCCGACTCCCCTGTCCCTTTGAAAATGCTGTTTCCTGGATCCCCTAGATGCCTTCTCAGCAAATTTACTCATTGCCAAAACCCATCTCAAATGCCGACTCCTTGACTAACAGATTTTCTAAACACCCTTATAATCGCCATCCGCTTGGTAGGCAATGGTTTGATGATGCACAAGAAGGGCTAGGTGGCCTCCCACCATAGCCATTGGGCGGCACTGGCTACTGCCCTCCTCTTTCTCCTGTTGACTTGCCCCATTTCACATCCTTCTTACATCCACCCTTCTCAAACTTGGGCATGCATACATGTCACCCAAGAAATCTTGCTAAAAACACAAATGCTGATTCAATGGTTGTGGGGTGGAACCCAAGGTTCTGCATTTCTAACATGATCCCAGCTGGTTCATGGGCTGCATTGGAAGAGCAGTGTCCTATAAATCTTCTCATATAGTCTGATAACAAAGCAATGAGGGTGGTCATTCTTGCTTTTCTACACTAAACTCTTTATAAGGGGGGAATTAGATCCAGTGAAACACAGAGAATTGAAATGCACAACACAGTAGATTTGGGCAAATGCATATATCTCTGTGACTTCCATCAAGAACATTTACATTTCTAGAAAGTTCTCTTGTTCCCCTTTCCACTTACTCCTCCAAGTAAAGATGGTTCTACAGGAACCCCAAATAATGTGGTCCAAGGAGACAACTTTCTGATTTGGGAGGCTTGACGAGGGATATGCTTTTCTAAATAGCAAAAACTACACCTCTTTCGAGCAATGCTGCAGAAAAGTTTGTAGACTATTGGTCTAACTAATCATCAGAGCTACTATCTTAGAATAGTTCTTTTGGGCCGGCGCTGCAGCTCACTAGGCTAATCCTCCGCCTGTGGCGCCGGCACCCCAGATTCTACTCCCTGTTGGGGCGCCGGATTCTGTCTCAGTAGCTCCTTTTCCAGTCCAGCTCTCTGCTGTGGCCCAGGAAGGCAGTGGAGGATGGCCCAAGTCCTTGGGCCCTGCACCCAAATGGGAGACCAGGAAGAAGCACCTGGCTCCTGGCTTCGGATTGGCACAGCTCCGGCTGTAGCAGCCATTTCGGGGGTGAACCAACAGAAGGAAGACCTTTCTCTTTCTCTTTCTCTCTCTCTCTCTCTCTCTCTCTCACTGTCTAACTCTACCTGTCCAAAAAAAAAATAGTTCTTTTGTTCATTTTTCCATAATTCCACATGGCAGGTCCTGTGCTCGGCATGGAATTCCAAGGAGTACAGGAAGCCAGGGGTGGCCGTCTGTTTGGGCTGCTGTAGCTTATAAACAACAGAAATCGATTGTTAAGAGTTCTGGAGGCTGGGAAAGCTAAGATTATAGTGCTGGCAGTCACGCTCTGGCTGAGGACAATTTCCTGGCTCACAGATGGCGCCTTGCACTCTTCACGGGGTGGGAGGGACTAGGCAGCTAGCTCTCAGGGGCCTATTTCATAATGGCACTAATCCTGCACATGAGGATGCCACCCTCATGACTACTCACCTCCCATAGGCCCCCACTTTCTCCTACCATCACCCTGGGGGCAGGGTCCCAACACAGGAATTGTGGGGAGACACATTCAGACCATAGCACCAGGCTCACATCCAGCAGGGGAAGCAGAGACGGAACTTGCAAAACTTCCCAGGAGACTCTGGGGCTGTGGGGCATTCCTGGCCCAGGCAGGGAGACTGGGGAGGATGAGACAAAGCACACGAGTCATTTGTAAATCTTGCATTTCACTCTCTTACGCATAGCGTTCTGCGAAACTCCCCTTGCAGGTCTGATTTCATCTTCACTGTGGTCTGTGATGAGGCAGGTGCCGTGGTTCCCCTTCTGTGGTATAGAGACTGAGGCTTACAGCAGTTGACTAAGGTTGTATGGTAGAAGCTGCAAGGTGATGCCTTGAGTTCCCAGGAAATATGCTTCTACCATCTCACAGCTACTCCAGGGAGTGGCATCACGGCCAGCCAGGTGGCAGGGGTCATAGGAACCCAGATGCGAGCCTGAGCGTGAATGTCAGGTCTGGGTGACAGGACAGGGCAATCTGCTCCCTCCTGGGAGGCGAATCCCAGGCCCCTGGAGCTGTCCCCTGGAGCAGTGTCTTGCCTGCATCCCCTGGGCTGGAGTCGCCAGCCCTGACCAGTCCCCTGACGATGGCTTTATTAATTGTTGTGCACCCGTGTGTGTATGTCTTAGCACCTAGCTTCCTGCTCCTGCAACATGAAAATCCTGCTTGGTGACCTCCTGCTGCTCAGCCTCCTCTCCAGCGTGTTCAGCAGTTGTCAGAGGGACTGTCTAACGTGCCAGGAGAAGCTCCACCCGGCCCTGGACAGCTTTAACCTGGAGGTAGGTCCAGGAGGCAAAGGGGCTGTGCTCGTCCCACCGCCTCCTCCCTCCTGCTCCAGAGCTTGATAGACTCAGGCCTCCTTCAGGGGCAAGGAGTTGTCCAGGGTCACGTAACCGTGCTGGAAACGATGGGGAGCTGAGCGGCCCCTTCCAGCCAGGGAGCCTGCGCTCTTCCTACCTCTCACCTGCGAATAAAGGGCCACCCATGCTTCCCGGTGCTCCCAGAGTTAAGATAATGCAGTCATTTTAGGGGATCTGGCAAAGTCAGAGAAGTGCAAAAACAATCAATTAAATTAAAATCACCTTTAACCTCACCAGTAAGAGGAAGAATCCTAAACTTTCCTTACATCCTATATACCAAGGTAATGCTCCCGGGTTATTAAACATTAGTGAATACATGTACTATGACGTGTTTAATCACACCCCTCCTCTTGAACACACGTGTTGCTCCACTTTTGGTATTCCAGATAATTCTACAACAAACACCCAAGTGCAAAACTTCTCTTTTGCATTTTGAATCCCCAATTTCAGGTGTCAATCTAGTGTTAGATTTTTATTCACTCGATAAACTACTGTCTCAACTACTTTACCTTCCAGTCGAAATAGTGTTTGTCTCCTGTTAAATCCACTATAATTCAATCTCCTTCCTTTGAAGTCAAATAAATTTATTTTAAAAGACATCATGTTTCTAAACCCTCAACCTTTGGAAACAACCAAAAGTAGCTGCTATTTCTTAAGGCCAGTGCACACAAGTGGAACCAAATATTCCCGTGGGACTACCACACCATGGCATCCCCCAGCTCCAGGACAGTGTGGGCTGACCCAAGCACCGTGCTCCCCCGGCCCTGCTAAGTGGTTTTCTGAGCCCATTTTCTGACCAGTAATAACCACGCAATCGTAAGGAGCACCCCCAGGTAACCCATTCAAGGTTGATCCACTCTTACTCTTCTGTCGCATTTTCCTCTGAACTCTGCCCCGCCAGGCCTTCCCTCCCTCAGGAAGCCCCGTCCTCCTCCTGGTTCTCTTGCCTGCTCACGATGCCTCTCTGCCCCTCTGACTCCCAACTTCTGCCTCCTGTGCGGGCTCCTCCCCCCACCCCCATACGTAAGTCATTGCAAGTCTGCCTGCTTCTCCCCTCCCTGTACTCTCACACTCCAAGGTTCCACTGCCCATCCTGGCCTTCCGTCTTCCCAGCTGCAGGCGACTCCCAAAGCTACGCTCTTTTTTTTTTTTTTTTTTTACAGGCAGAGTGGACAGTGAGAGAGAGAGACAGAGAGAAAGGTCTTCCTTTTGCCGTTGGTTCACCCTCCAATGGCCACCGCGGCCGGCGCGCTGCGGCCGGCGCACTGCGCTGATCCGATGGCAGGAGCCAGGTGCTTCTCCTGGTCTCCCATGGGGTGCAGGGCCCAAGCACCTGGGCCATCCTCCACTGCACTCCCTGGCCACAGCAGAGAGCTGGCCTGGAAGAGGGGCAACCGGGACAGAATCCGGTGCCCCAACTGGGACTAGAACCCGGTGTGCCGGCGCCGCTAGGCGGAGGATTAGCCTAGTGAGCCACGGCACCAGCCCCAAAGCTACGCTCTTGACCTCTCTCCTGCACTGTATCCCTCACTTTCCATGGTGTGTGTGCGTGTGTCTTCCTATCTTCTCTGTCCGATAAACCCCACTCACACCTGTAAGCCCCAGTTCGGTTCCACCTCCTAAGAGAATACTTGCCTCCAGTAGATTTGGCCCTGCCTTCCTTTGCATTCCACAGTTCCCTGTGCCTGCAGGTCTTTCTGGCTCTCTCTCATCAGGCCTGAGCTTCCCTTGATGATTGATCTCGACCTCCCCACGCATAGCCCAGTGCTCAATAAACAGGCCCCTTGGAAGTTCTAAGACCTTCAGTCTCCAACTGAGGCTGCTCCTTTGCAGCATTGAGAGCTGGTCAAGGATTTGGAGGACATTTGCATATCTCCACACCATCTTAAACCCGTGGGGTATAGACAACACTCTTAGCTTGCTTCTTTGAATTAAGTCAGCAAACGGAGCTGTAAAAACGTCACAATCAGGGATAAGCCCCTCAGCTGGCCGCTCCCTCAGTGGCCTCCTTGTTTTTGTTTGTGTTCACTTTTAGCTTCTGTTGAAGTGTAACGAAATGCCAAGAAGGTAGGCACCCACATCTCATTTCCACTTCTGGCAGCCCTTCAGTTCGACCCCTCTGGGAATGACAGAGTCTCTCACGTTTCAGCCAGGGTCACCTCCCCAGGCTCCCCATAGATTCAGGAGTTATGTAATGCTGAGCTAATACCAGCACCCCCTGGACCCTCCGCTTCGTCAAGAGTCTTTCTCCGTCTACTCCTGGTAGATGGCCCAGGTATGCCTGGTGTTTTGTTAGAGTATAATTTTGATTGGTAAATGACTCACATGCCTAAACCCAATGCCATGCCCAGGCCTCTTCACCTAATGGTGAACGGTACTCACCCCATCAGCTCAGACAGGAAACCAAAATCACTGAGCCGCTTCAGAGACCAAAAATAAGGCAACCAACCCCCAAGAAAAAGATTGGGGAAATTTCCTTAAACCTCTCTGAAGCCATTGTGAAGAAAACTGCTTCCGGTCTCCATGAAACGAAAATGCTCAGTAGGAAGTTTGCAGCAGGCCTCCCTGCTGTGGCTTTCGTGTGTTGCCCATGTGCTGACCACTAGTGTCAGCCCGCAGGTCTTCCAGCAAGGACCTTCGGAAGCCAAGGGCTCCCTGGGAGTCTGTGCCAAAGTGGTTTGACTCACTTGACGGTCTCCACCATCTGCTTCTGTTCTCTCCAAAAGGGCTCCTGTGCCCCTGCCCCCTTAGGACCTTCAGTTTTGATCCCAGACACCCTGGCCCTTCGCTCGGTTTCTTCACAAGCCCAGCTTTACAGATCAACTTGGCACCAGTCTGAGACCCCAGATGCTCAGGCACAGTCTGGCTCCGTACAGCAATGTCATCAGCGTGGGCTGCTAATACGGGTCCAGCTCACTTCACAGGCCATTAACCCCTCTCTGAAAAGAGGCTGGTGAGTGCCCCAGACCAGAGGGTTGGGCATTAAGTTCACAGGCCCATCTGTTGCTACAAATGCTACTGTGAGTTTGGATTTCTCCTGTTTGTTCCGAAGCTTCTTCTAACCCAAAAGTTGAGATGATTTTGTTAGTATCTAATTTATCTAACAGTGGGTCAAGTTTGGGTATGGACTGTGACGTCTGCTTTCGTCATAGAATTTCATTCTCTCTGACTGACATGAAATCTAACTACCATCTGGGCTTAGAAACCCAGAGGTTCACGAAAACCCTAATAGCCTCTAGATTTAACAACTCTCCCACCTGATTCTGTAAATGGAGGAGCAAAACAAGTCTACAATCTCTTGGCAGTTCTTTCTGCAGGGATCAGACCAACTGTGCCCAAAGGTTCATACCAGCCCCCAAATTCTACACTTGTACAGGCTTCCTCAGGGCTACCCCACACTTCCTGTGTTCCTGTGCCCTAGAGAGCAGGGATTCTCCAAACTTGCCACTCTGATGATTTTGGACGGGGTGATTATTTGCTGTGGGGAGCTATCCCACGTACTGCAGGAGGCTTACTAGTACCCTGACCTCTAGGTGCTATCAGGACATGCACATGCACACACACACACTCACACACAGACACCATAACCAGGAAAGTCTTCCAAACATTGGGCAAATTTGCTCCCAGTTGAGACCCACCTCTGTAGAGTGAGAACCCAATGGGATTGTGAGCTGAAAGAATGGCTTCTCTCCTCTCTGGTTTTCTTCAAAGTATTCGGGGGGAGTCCTTCTTTGACCGCCATGCTCCTGAGAGTACCATCCCGGGCAGGGTTCCTCAAAGGGTAGCCCAGTCACAGAACCACCTGGCATGCTGGCTAAAATTGCAAACTCCTGGGCCCCAGCCTTGACTTCATAGGTGAGAGTCTCCCCGGGCTCCAGGCTAAGACTCTGCCTTCTAACAGACTCCAGCAATGATTCTCTTAGCGCATTCAGGAAGTTTCAGACTCTGTCACTCTTGAGTCAAGCTTCCCCATCTATGGAAGCTGCCTATCCTTTTTTCATACCCAGGACATGGTGGGTGTGAAAACGTGGTTTCTCCACATGTCACTGTTGGGTGTGCACTGACCACGATTAGTTGTCAGCAACTATGTTCCACCCCATAAGCATCTCTAAGGATAAAACCAAATGGAAAAGGCATGCTCAGAAAAACTGTGGCTTAAGCCTCAGTAGGGGCCAACATAACTGAGGCTAACGAGTGGGCTTGGAACAGGTCACTCCTTGGATATGTCACAAAGGAGGAAGAGGAGTCTTCCCGAGGGGCACTGGCTCGGTCTCCTCTTCAGTCCAGGAAATAATGAGTAAAATTCCCATCACACTCGTACCTCTTGGTCACAGAGGGCCCTTATTCTCACACTGATTTCCACCAATGCATATCGCAAGACACAAAGGTGGTTGAACAGGACATACCCTAGCCTGGGTCTCAAGATATTTCGGAGTTCCCGTTCAGGTTATACTGGTATCTACCGGCCCTGTTTGGGGTTTCTTACTGAACCTTGTTATGACATGCAAAGATTGAATTACATCAGTGCTTTGCGAACCTGGACGAATATCAGAATTACCTGAGCTTTGCAGAATGAAGTTTGTAATCCCTTTGTAAAAATAAATTTTAATCTGCAGTTCTCCCTGTGTTTTTAAAAGCACTGCAGAGAATTTGGACTCAGACCTACATGTGAGAACAGCTGGGCCAGGTGTGGCCTGAGGTCCCTGGCTAGGAAGGTGCTTTGCCGAGGAGCTGGGGTGGTCTCCCGGTGTGACACTGGCTGACTGCAGCGGCAGAGCCCCTCCCTTTTCTTGTGGGCTGGCTCCAGGCCACAGCCGCCTTGTATCTCAGGGATCAGACGCGTGGAAGGCAGACAGACTCTTCCTACAGTCCAGCAAAGAAGCCTGGAGTCCACAGGTGCCTGGCCCATGGACAAAATCGGCAAACCACAAAGTATACGCAAATTTAACGGGAGTATGTTTACGGGGCCAAAGTTTGGGCCTATAGCTTATATCAGATTCCCCCCCAAAAAAAGTCCATGACCCAGAAAGGTTAAGAACCCTGGTCTAATGGGGCAGACAAGTAATCAGGTAAAAAAAAATGTTGCAGCAGCTGGGTGACAAAAGCTACCAGAGAATGTGCACAAAGGGTGCTGATTGCAAGCAGCAGCAACTCCCCGTCTTGCAGGGACTCACTCATCCCTTTTCATTTCCTTCCTTTTCACTCCTAGAAAATATAATGTGGCTTCTTGATTAACTCAGCTCAGATCAATAGGCCTCTATTGCCATCCTACTGTTTACTGGAAAGAGATTCAAACATGAGTAAGAAGCGGTCCGTAACTTGTCACACTCTGCCTTGGAAGTTATTGCAATTATACTAAGCATTAGAATGTCCATAAGAGCATACAAAACTCTGTGGGAACACAGAAGCGGATGCAGGCAATTCTTACCAGGGACCCAGACGGAGATCTCAGCAGGAGGCAGTTCTGGGGCTTGCTTGGGTCCTAAAAGACGGATGGAAGCAGATCATTCCATCAGAGGGGACAGCGAGGGAAGGCGTGGAGGCGGGAAGAGCTACGGTGTGCTTAAGGCACTAGGAGCAGCCCCGTGTGCCTGAAGAGGGGTTATGGAACAGATGACTAGGAACTTGAGGACTCTGCTCAGGAGTTTGGAGCTATTTCAGAAACGAGGCCGAATATCAGACCACTGTGGGCAGGGTGATGATGTAATTACAGTTCTTCTTCAGGAAAGACGTCCTGCCAGGAGTCCACAAAGACTCAAGTGGCAAAGATTAGAAATGGAGAGATCATCTGGGAGCCACTGTGCCCTAAGAGTCTTTGGACAGTGTCAGGGGGTGTGGGAAGGAGGGAAGATTGTGTGCCGAGGGATGGGTGGTGGGAGGTAAAGAGGCAAAAATATGCCCAGGGTTGGGGGTCACTGTGATACAGTGGGTAAAGTCCCTACTTGAGAAACCCACATCTCCTACTAGAGTGACTGGTTCGAGTCACACCTCTGCCTCGAATCCAGCTTCCTGCAAATGCACATCCTAGGAGAAGGCAGATGATGGCTCAAGTACTTGGGTCCCTGCCACCGACACAGAAGACACAGATGGAACGACTGGCTCCTAGCTTTGGCCTGGCTAAACCCTGGCTGTTGTGGGCATTTGGGGAGTGAACGAGCAGATGGAAGAGATCTCCCTCCTTACTTCTATGTCATGCTGCCTCTCAAATAAACAAACTTAAAAAAAAAAAAAGGTATGCCCAGGGAAATAAGGAACCAAGCAGACAGAGACGGCAAGACCAAGCCAAAGAGATGAGGCCAGGTGGAGCCAGTGCAAAAGGTCTTCCAAAAGTTCATGGGAGATAGAAAGCCACATGTAGATTTCAAATGTTTTGCACCAAAATAAAGTTATCTTTTTAAAAATATTTATTTATATGAAAGGCAGAGTGATGAGGGTGAGGGGAAGGGAGGGAGAGAGGAGGAAGAGAGAGAGAGAATCAATCTTTCATCTGCTGGTTCACTCTCCAAGAAGCTGCAACAGCCAGGGCGAGGCCAGGCTGAAGCCGGGAGCCAGAAACTCTATTCAGGTCTCCCACATGGGTGGCAGGGGCCCAAATATGTGTGCTATTTCCACTGCCTTCCCAGGCACAAGAGCAGGAAGAACGATCAGAAATAGAACAGCCGGGACTCAAACCAGAGCTCCCATACGGGATGCCAGTGTTGCAAGAGGTGGTTAACCTGCTGTGCCACAACAGCAGCCCTTGAACTTATCTTTTAGCTCCACTTTTCAATGAGCATTTTGAAGTCCTCTTGTATACCAGATAAGAACTAAATTCACCTGCTAGTAACAAAGACTAAAGTAGCAGTGTCTTAAATAAGACAGAAATTTCACGCCTCATAAAGAAGTGAGGAGGCGGAAGTCCAGGTCGGCATGGGGTTCCGTCTCCTGTTTCTGCTCCGCCACACTCATCTGATGGCCATCACGGGACTTCCATCCTCTGAGCCACCCCATGGTTTTCAAGGTGGCTGATGGGTGTCAGCCAAAACATCCATGCTCTAGCCAGGAAGCTGGAGGAAGGGGAGGAAGGTGTGGAAAAAGAATGTTCTTTCCAGCCAAGCTGGATGCCTGTTTTCCTGGAAGTCCCACCTGATCACTTTGTTGCTGGCCACCTCTTGCTGGAGAGGTGACTAGGAAGCATGCATGTTGCCTTCAGGAAGCAAGGAAGAGAGGAGGTGAGTAGGGGATGGGCACTTGGCGGTCTCGGCCACAGAAGCTGCCCTACAAGCAGGTGAAGCTGTGAGGTTTGAGCGAGGCTCTGCAGCTGCCTGATGACTCCTAATGGCAAAGTCAGGCGGAAGCAGGGCTTTCCACTGACAGACGCTAGAACTGCAGAGAAGAGAATTCAAGGCAAAGCCAAACCAACATATGGGAAGAAAAGTAGGAAGCAGAGGCATCCGGGAGACTCAACCAGGAACTGGGGGGGAGGAGGAGGGAGTGAAGGTCAGAATCAGTTAGGAGGGGCAGAGAAACGCCATGGTCAGGAGGGCAGACTCATCTAGGAGATGGTGGCCCCCAGAGAAGAGAGGCAGCAGCAAAATGCTCGGGGTGGGGGGGCCAGGCTCGCATTAGATGACGGCACCTCCTCACCTGGAGCTGGAGGGCAGCTTTAGCCCTCTCTGTCCAACCTGCCCACCTCCCCACGTGTCTTGGCCCTCATTTGCTGGAAATTCTGCACACAGAGAGCTGATGAGTGCATGTCAGATGAAAATGAACAACGCCAGCATTGACCTTTCTATGGTGACCCTAAAATAAACATGCAGATTCAAAGATGAACTTTCACATCCCCAATTTCTGTAACCAATCTGACCTTCCCCAGGCCTAAGGAGAGAACAAAATAAAATTCTCTTTTATGAGTGCCACTCATGAGCTGCGCTTAGGCCCAAAAAAACCTAAGGATGCAGCCAGGCGCAGTCCAGGGTGTGACACTTGCTGTGTCAGCTGGGGTCAGTTAACCTCCCCTCTCCGAGGTCTGGTTCCTTCATTCGTAAAATGAGAGAGCTGGGCCAGAGGGTCCTGTCTATTCCCAGCTCTGACATTCCACGGACCAAAAACTCGGATGTGACTGACCTCCCTTGCCCAGGGAGTAACAGAGGTCCCTGTTCCTCTTGCCTCCCTCCCACCTGGGTCTTTCCAGGCATGCATCCTCGAGTGTGAAGAGAAGGTCTTCCCCAGCCCTCTCTGGAGTCCCTGCACCAAGATCACAGCCAAGGGCTCCCGGAAGCTCAGCCCTGCTGACCCTGAGCAGGTGGCGGCCACCCTTGACCAACCAAGTGCCTCCGAGATGCAGCACCTGAGGCGGATGCCCCGTGTCAGGAGCCTGTTCCAAAGGCAGGAAGAGATGGAACCTGGCACCCTTGAAGCTGGCGAGGTGGAGCAGAAGCAGCTGCAGAAGAGGTTTGGGGGCTTCACGGGGGCCCGGAAGTCAGCCCGGAAGCTGGCCAACCAGAAGCGGTTCAGTGAGTTTATGAGGCAGTACCTGGTCCTGAGCATGCAGTCCAGCCAGCGCCGGCGCACCCTACACCAGAATGGTAATGTGTAGCCAGAAGGGGAGTCCTCCCAGCTACACCGGCCACTGCAACCCCTGAGTGAGTTGGGTACCAATGAGCTGGGGGCAAGAGATCTCATCCACCCAACTGTCTTAGCCTTCCTCCCAAGCCTGGAAGCACATAAGCTCACACTCACAGACACACACACACCCCAACCCACCAGGAGTTCAGCTCCTGCAAGGCCTGCAAGCGAAATGCTGCTCTCTGCCTCCTGCCCACCTTTTCTCTAGGGAGCAAGAATTTCCCTATGATTGCTCCTTGAGGCTGACCACTCCCATTTAGAGGTTGGTTACCATGGGGATAATAGTAGTATGTTAAGATAACTAATTCCTGTATAGCCCTCTAGGAGCTTAGTTACTATGGGGACAGTTAAGTGGACCAATCCCCCATCCAGTTGCCATAGGAACCATTCAGCTCACCTCTCCTCAGAGACGTTATCACTAAAAACCAATAGCTGAACCCACTCCCAGCCATTCACAGGGAGTCCAATCACTGTGGCAATGATGTTGTTATTTCATCTTCAAAGACAGCTTACCTAGCCTCTGCCTTTCCACTGATGTCTCAAGGGGATGGGACTCCATGGAAACCATTTAACTCTCCCATTTCCCCAAAGAGTTCTTCTAGGCCCTGGAACTGTGCTTTCTGCCCTGCTCCCCTGCACAGGCCACGTGTCCCCCCATCTCCTGCTGGAGATAGGCTGATGATGTGCGCTCCACGGTGCCATCATTGAACAAACTCCGAGAACCTGGCTCACTACACCCGTGAGGAGGACAGACTGAGGGGTTCATCTTCCTTGCTCTCTGCTCCTTTCCAGGGTGCTATTTTGTTCTGTTAGTGTTCCTTTCTTCTTTTTCCTACCCCTACAGGCGTGCCAACACAAGTACATACATCACATACCGTGCAATAGCATCAAAGACCCTAATTTATGGCCCAGTCATTCCAAACCCAGCTCTCTTAGCCCATCAACCGATATGTAACTTCCAGTGGCATTGGGAACTAGTAGAGGGGAATTTTTTGAAAACTCAAGAAAATTTGAGCCATCAAGTTTATGTGCCTTGATTTGTCTCTGGGGATATGATTATTGGCAGATTCCCATACCTCTCCTTACATGGCCTAGAGACTTATCTTAATGCAAATAACTGGTCAATTCATCAAACGCACCCCCCAAATAACAGCCAGATGGGGGTATCCCTGCCTCATAAGCACAGGAAAAAAATGGCTTTATGTGCTAATTTGCTTCACATACGTCAAAGGTGACTGTCTCCTGAATAAGCCCTTTGAAGGTGTGTTCATGTGTCTGTTCATCTCTGACACCCACACTTCAGGGTGCAGGCAGCCGGGAGCTGTGTGCAGGTAGCTCAGCTTATCTGCAACACGCCAGTGACCAAAAATGGCCACACGCTCTCAGCCAAGGCGAGCCGTGAGGAGAGAGCTGCTGTGTTTATTTTAGCAGAATGACTCATCTCCGAGGCCCTGAGTTAACCTGCCCTGATTTTGAAGTCATGCTCTTGGATCCTTTACCAGCTGCCTGTTTCTTTCTAAGCCGGACTGCACAGCGCCTTTCGGTATCTCTCTCAGAAGTAGTAGGGATGGAATTCTTCCGAATCTTACCAACACTTTTCTGGAAAGTGGCTCCAAAGTGACACCGAAGCTCCTGTCTAGTCCTGAATTACATTTTCCTTATCTAAAGACAGCTTAAAATCGGCCCCATTAGCAAGAATCAATTTATTTTTTAAATGATTTGAGTCCCTTTCCAGGCAATTGGTTTTTCTAATTTTCCATCATGCCTCCCTCTGAGCGGCACTGAAACAAAGCTGTTCACTAGCTTCTGTGGGCTGCTTTGCTCAAGATGGAAAGTTCTCGGTGGAAACGCTGGGAACATTAACCAGCTCATTTGCGTATTATCGATGGCTCTCCCTTCTCCTTCGGGAACCGTCTCTCGGTTACCTTTCTGCATACACGCAGGACCTCTGAGTTCCAACACGGACATTACCCTATTAACCAGTCTGTCCGAGGCAGCTTAAACCTTGTTTCATTCACATCACACCCTGCTACCCGAGAGCGAGATTCCTCCACCTCAGCAGACCCTCGTTAGCAAAGCTGCTCCGGACTTCTAAGACACAATACCAGCCCCCACTTTGAAAGCTGGGAGGACAGAGGGCCAACTCACACCGGAGTGGGATGAAGACCCAATGCAGAACCTGGAATGCCACCCCAGGGAGGGGGAGCCAAGGGGTGCAGGGCCAGCCCAAGACAGAGTGGTGAAAAGGCCCCAAGTGGTCTTGGCAGTTGCTTGCCTTTTCCTGAGTCTACACTGCCTTCTTCTTTTGTGCTGCCCCATGCCCAGAGCCGTAAAGATGATAGAAAATGAGCAGGCTCATCGGTGGTCAGGTGTTGGTGACATCAGGCTTAAAAGGCACCTGCAAGATAACAGAACGATAAATGTGGCCGTGACTTAGCACAGATTCTGACTATCAGGGAGAAGGGGACGGTTTCCAGGTAGGGAGCTTGTGGCAGCTATGTAGGGGGAGCGAAAGAACCCTTCTGGCTATTTTAGGAACTGCCTATTGGGTTGAGAGCTTCCCTTCGCCCCTTTGGATTGCTTCAGTCACTTGAGCAAATAGAATCGAAAGATCAGAGAAGCCATCAGGTTTGCCATTTTAATTATTTCTGTCTCCCCAGGCGTCCATGTGATCCCCAAAACAGCATGTGTCCAGCCCCAGAGCTGCCGGCTGGGAATCAGGATTCCTTCTTCCCCAAGGCACTGAGGGCCTGCAGACCCTGCGGGCGTGGCCTCCAGAGCCCCCACCCCACCCCACCCCCACCCCGGCATGTCGCACCCAACCCTGTTGCTACATCAGAGTGTATTTTTGTAATTTCTCCAGCTAGCATTTTAATAGCCCCATCCTTCCTTCTCACCCACCCCTTCCCTCTTCTAGGGGCAGGTGAAAGGAGTACAAAAATCAAGCCTGGGGTTTTGACTCATCACTGCCATAACCTGTTTGTAAAAGAGCTGTTCTTTTTGATTGTTTGAAACAATTATTTCTCCATTAAACTTCTGAGCAAATGGTTAATAAATTTGTTTACTGTTTTTAAATGAAGTGACTGCATGGCACAGACCCCGCACAGTCATTGCTGGCTGTCCTGGGAGGACAGAGGCCAAAGGCACACGGCTCTTCTCTATCTAAATAAAATAGAACAGGTGCAACGCATGAGTGTAAATGCCCCAAGTGCTCTGTGCCGCTGCTACACGCATGCGCAGCAGCAGAGACGAGGCTATTGGGGCCCACGTCTGGGACAAGGAGTGGTGCTTCTCAAATCTGGCTGCATCAGCACCACAGGTGGCGGGCGGCTGGGCCCCACCCGTCTCTCACCTGCTAGCAACTGGCGATTCTAATTTGTTCCAGGTGATAGAGATCCAGTTGCTTTGAGACCAATGGACTGGGACACGAGGTGAGGTGTGGCACCTACTGAATCCATTTTTACCATCAACTCAATGCTAAATACCTCAAGGTGTGTAACTGCAGAGGCCCAGCCTAGAAACATACAGCAAACCCAGAGTTAAGCCCCTGCTGAAGTAAACAGGGTGTCTTAGTCCACTTTCTGCTAAAATAAAATAGCTGTTTTCTGTATCCATGGGGGAGGGTATTCCAGAACCATCCACGATGTTCCAGACAAAAGGGCATAGTGGGGCTGGCACTTGGTGTAGCAGGTAAACCCACCAACTGCAGCACCAGCATCCAAAATGGGCACCAGTTGGTGTCCCGACTGTTCCACTTCTGATCCAGCTCCCTGCGAATGCACCTGGGAAAGCAGTGGAAGATGGCCCAAGTGCCTGGGTCTCTGCTATCCACATGGGGGACCCAGAGAAAGCTCCTGACTCCCGGCTTTGGCCTGGCCAGCTCCGGCCATTGCGGCCATTTGGGGAGTCAACCTGCAGATGAAGCGCTCACTCTCTTGTCCTCTGTGTAAATTTCAAATAAATCTTTAAAAAAGAAAACCGGCATTATAGTTACACGTACCCTGCACGTCCTCCCATGTCCTTTGGATCGTCTCTACTCAAAATCCTTGACACAATGCAAACACCATGTAGATCGTTGTTAAACTGTTTAGAGAATAATGACCGAAGTCTACATGCTCAGGACAGAGGCACCCCCACCACCACCACCATCTTCCTTCTGTGCTTGGTGGAACCCACAGAAAGGGAGGCCTTGACCAGGCCACAGGCTAAATTCTTTTTTTTTTTTTTCTGACAGGCAGAGTGGACAGTGAGAGAGAGAGAGACAGAGAGAAAGGTCTTCCCTTTCCATTGGTTCACCCCACAATTGCCGCTGCGGCCAGTGCACCTCACTGATCCGAAGCCAGGAGCCAGGTGCTTCTCCTGGTCTCCCATGGGGTGCAGGACCCAAGCACTTGGCACTTGGGCCATCCTCCACTGCACTCCCGGGCCACAGCAGAGCTGGACTGGAAGAAGAGCAACCAGGACAGAATCTGGCACCCCGACCGGGACTAGAACCCAGGGTGCCAGCGCCGCAGGCAGAGGATTAGCCTATTGAGCCGCGGCGCCAGCCAGGCTAGGTAAATTCTAAAGAGTTCATTTGGCTCACTGTCTAGAGCTGGGAAGTCCACACTTGACAGCTGCCATGCTGTGTCCTAAGACAGCAAGCGAGCGCACATAAGACAGAGGAGGTGCCCGAGCCAGTCGTCCCCTTCCACGCCCACGACAGGAACCCACTCCTGAGACAGCGGCCTCAATCCACTCACCAAGACCATGCTCCCAGGACCTCAGCACCTCCTACAGGCCCCGGGCTGGCATGTGGGGCAGCAGGTTAAGACACCACCTGCAACTGGCATCCCATGCAGGTTCGAGTCCCAGCTGCTCCACTTCCAATCGCGCTCCCTGCTAATGTGCCTGGGGAAGCAGCAGAAGATGGCCTAGGCCCCTGCCACTGACATGGAAAACCTGGAGAGAGTTCCAAGTGCCTGATTTTCGCTTCATCCAGCCCCGGGTCCTTGCTGCCATGTGGGGAGTAAACCAGCAGATGGAAGGCCTCTCTGTCTCTCCCTCTGTGTAACTCTTTCAAATAATTTTTTTTTTAAAATGACCTCTCATACCATTGCATTGGCAATTAAATTTCAACACAAGCTTTGGACAGGACACTAAAACCACAGCACAGACTTACAGGAAGTCAGCAAGAGATGGTAACGTGATCGGTCAGGGAGCTGGGGAGGCCTGGTAGGGGCAGAGGAGGTGCTAGAACCCAGGGTGGCAGTTTGCTGTGGTTTTCAGCAGAGGTCAGGGGACTCAATGCCCTCCCCACTTTCAAACTCCAGCCTGGTGTCTCCTCTTCCCCAAACTCCGGCGAAAGCTGGGAAGGAAAGGGCTCCAGCGCCGCAGTCCCAAGCCGATGGGGAATACAGTAACCGATTTGGGGATACCCTGGCAGATGGTTCTGCTGGCGACTTTCTTAGAAGGATGGGGTGGGGCAAGGACAGAAAGGGAGCAAGGAGGAAAAAAGCAAACTGCCCTGCAGGCTGGTCTTGGGCCCTAACAGAGGTGCTGCACCTCCGCACAGCGCAACAGCTGTCAGCGGCCGCGGCCCTGCACACCCCCCAGAGGCCCCCAAGAGCTTCTCGCCACCTCTCAGTGCCCATATCCGCGGCCACTTGCTCCAGCCCTGGCCTCTCCTGGATGAACAGAGGGTTCTTTTGGACTCCGCCTGACTGCCCCCACCCCCACACCTTATATAAAAGCAGCCATGTTTTCCCCCTTACGGTAAGTTACACTCCACAACCGCTTCCTCAAGCCTTGCTCCCTTGGTGTGGTCTCCTCGGGACCCACAGCTGTTGTGCTGCGTCTTCAAGTTCAGCTACTTAAACCGTGTGAGCCATTCCCTGGGTGGGACGATGCTTTCAGCTTCTGACAGGCAGCCCACCAGGCCAGCTCCACTAGCCGTGCCGGCCGCTGCGTACATGGGATTAACAGCCGCAGCGGCAGACCCTGCTCAGGGCCCACTGTGTGCGCAGAGGGCGTCTTGACTTTCTAAGTCTCTTGCCCACCTCCCCTCAGACTCAGCAACATGGCCACGCACACACTCCCCTTTGCCCACTAAGCAAGGGGTGGGCGTCTGGCTAGGGATGCCTGCATCCCACACCGGTGCTTCCAATCCCAGCTTCCTGCAGGTGTGCACGGCGGGAGGCATTGGTGACGGCTCAACCACATAGGCCCTGCCACCCATATGGTAACATGGATTGAGTTCTGGGCTCCCGGCTTCAGCCTGGTCCAGCACAAACTGTGACAGGCCACCGAGGAGTGAGCCAGGAGACAGGGGGATTACTCCCTGTGTGTGCCTTTCAGATGAAATGAAAGGAAAACAGATTTAAAATAAGGACACAAACAGAAACTTACTGCATGCATCACAATCCTACTGCCATTATGTCCCAGTTCATGACATCGAGCAAGTGATCTGAACTCTGTCCCTTCCTCATCTAGCGGTACCGAAAACAACAACTTCCTTACGGATTATTGAGCCAACCCGTGGAAGCCACTTAACCTAATCCCCGGCAAACAGAACTGTGATTACCAGCAAATGAATAAACAGGCTTTGCCTTCAGTGAGTCACTGTCATTTGCTCAACACCAAGGACAGCGACGGTCTTTGCAGCGAGAGGGGCAGAGGGAGAGGCACACATTAAATCAGACAATGTACCATTTTATTCCTTATAAAATATATTTCATATTGTCGCTGTAAAAACATTACATTTCACATTTTTTTAAAAAAATTTTTTTAACAGTAAAAATAATACTTGGAAGACAGCTGGGGGAAAAGGCGCCAATAAGACAAATTCACAGGCAGAATCTGTCTCCCTCTGCTTTTTTTTTTCTTTTCTTTTTTTGCCCCTGGTAAAGTCAGAACCTGGATGACCAGAAAAGGGCACCAGAACAGATTGCTCTCAACAAGTCAGGCTTTCCACATCCCAGGTAATACTGCCAGCCAAGGCGTCAAGCCATAGATTTACTACAGCGTGGCCATCGCTCAAAACACCCTCTGCAGTTACGAAATGGCTTTCTGAGCCCATTTCCAAGTCATAGACTTGTGCCCCAGCAATTGACAAAGCCGAGCCCTCACCTGGCCACAGCCATTGTTTGCTGGGCTCGCAGCGCTGAGCGGGCGTGGGTGCAGACTCGGCCTCTCACTGGCTGTTCTGATTACAGACTCTCAAGGCCTTTCCAGGGAACATTCCGAGTATGGGGGGCCCTCGCTGCTTACACAGTTTCCCAAGACAACTGCTTTGTGAATCAGTCCTGTTAGGATTCCAGAGCACCCCCGTGGCACCCTCCCCCCACCAGATCCTGCTGCCTGGAAAGCAGGCAGACACAGAGAGGGAGAAAGGAGCATGAGCACTGGGTCCCTGCACGCACCACCCCTCCCTCCAGGAGCACTCTGGGGGCGGGTCACGCGCTGGGAACCCATGCATGGCAAGTGCACGGGGCAGCCGGCTGGCAGGTGCACAGGAGGCAGAGAGCGCCTGCAGACAAGGATGCTGCACCAAAATTAAAAAAAAAAAAACAGAAGCAAAAACAAAACCACCTCAGTTTTTAAACTGTCCCATCCATTCCTTCTTTCTCTTCTTCCCTTTCTGCCCTGGGTAGCAAGGGCTGGAGAAGCCCACGTCACACAGAGAACATTGCTGCATGCAGTTGTATCAGCCCGGAGTACCCTGCGGGGTGGAAAACAGCTTGGCTGAAGAACAGGCTCGGCAAGAGCTCTGATTAGGAAGGGGTGGGCGGACCCTCCTGGGCTGAGTCCCCATAAGCCGAGAGGGTCCCCTGCCCACCCCCCCACTGGGAGGATCTGAAGGGTGGTGATGAAGAAAGGGAGAGGTGGGGCGAGGCGAGGCAAGCCAAGCCACAACCACAGCCAGCTCCCCGCTCCCAGTGAGGTCGCAGAGGCACCAGGACGAGCCCCGCAGCATCTCCGGCTGGCCTGGGCACCAGCTTGCCAAGAGACAGAATTCCACATGGATTTTTTTTTTTTTCCTACCAGTTCATAAAAATATACCCCATTCCCA